TAATGATGAATTTTCTCAATTCCTTTCAGCTCTATCAGGTTTTGCTTCACACATTTTGTTATTTGATTTGTACACATTTAGGACTGTTTTATCTTCCTGGCGGATTGATTCCTATATTATTGTGTAATGTACCTCTGTCTCTAGTAAATTTCTTTGCTCTGAAGTCTACTGTATCTGACATTAATACAGAAACTTCTTTTTAAAATTAATGATTGCATGGTATAACTTTTCCCACCCTTTTACTTTCAATCTATGTCACTGAATTTGATAAACAGCTTATAGTTGGGTTATGTTTTTTTATCCACCCTCACAATTTCTTTTGATTGATGTGATTAGAACCAATCTTAAGGTAATTATGGTAATTTCTGATATGTTAGGTCTTAAGTTGGCCCTTGTATTATTTATTTTACATTTATTTCCTTTCGGTCTCATTGTTCTATTTCTCTTTTCTTGTTTTTCTGTGGGTTATTTTTTTATTGTTTAAGATTCCATTTGGATTCATTCTTAGTGTTTTTTAGTGTATCTCTTTGTACAGTTTTCTTAGTTGTCACTCTGGGTATTACATATACACATGTTCCTTATCACAGTCTAACAATATCTTACCACTCAGAGTGAAGTGTGAAAACATTTTCATTTAGGTCCCTTTACCTTTCCCACTTTCAAATATTACTGTCTAGCGTAACAAAAGGTATTATAATTTTTGCTTCAATCATCACACTTTAAAAATTTGCGGGTAGAAGAATAGTCTAATGTATGCACTCATATTTGTGCTCTTCTCATTGTTTTTTTCCTTCCTTTCTGATGCTCCAGTGTTCTTTATCATTTTCTTCCATTTGAAGAACTTCCTTTAGCCATTGTTTAACGGTAGGTCTGCTAGCAACAAATTCTTTTAGTTTTCTTTCATCTGAGAATGTGTTCACTGTGCCTTTGTTTCTGAAGGATAGTTTTGCCAGATAGTCAACCCGCAGTTGATGATCTTTTCTTTCAGCACTTGAAGAAAAATGTGCTACCTCCTTGTGACCCCGGTGGTTTCATATAAGAAATCAGCTGTCATTTGAATTGGTGTCCCCCTGTAGATAATGAGTCATTTCTCTCTGGCTGCTTTCAAGATTTTTTCTTAGTTTTTAGTTTTTAGAATTTTAATCATGATGTCTTGGTGTGGATTTCTTAGGATTTATTTTATTAGTATTCATTTGGTTTCTTGAATCTGCACATTTATGTCTCTTTCCAAATATGGGAAGTTGTCAGTCATTATTTCTTCAAATATTTTTTCAATCCCACTTCCATTCTCTTTCTGGGACTCTGATGACACAAATGTTAGCTTTTTTGTTCTTGTCTCAGAGATTCTAGGTTTTTTTTTTTTTCAGTCTATTTTCTCTCTGTTGTTCAGATTTGCTAAATTCTATTGCTCTGTCCTCAAATTTTGATTCCATTTTGTCAAATCAACTTTACCATTGAGCCCATCTAATGAGTTTTTAAATTTCTTTTCTATTTTTTAGTTCTATAATTTCCACTTGATTGTTGATATAACTTCTATTTTTTTTTGAGATTTTGTACTTTTTCATCTGTTTCAAGAGAACTTGTAATTGCTTGAAGCATTTTTTATGATGCTTGCTTTAATATCCCTGTCAGATAATTCCAATGTCATATTCATCTCAGTGTTAGTGTCAGTTGACTGTCTTTTCTCATTTAAGTGTGATCTCCTGGTATTTGGTATGACAGGTAATTTTCTACTGTATCCTGCACATTTAGCTATGATATTGAGAGACTGGGGGTCCATTTAAATATTTCATTTTAGCAGGCAGTCACCCTGTTTTTAGGTTAGCTCCCAGATCCTAAGTCTACTTTTGTGGGCTGTGTTTGTTCCAATGACAACGTAATTTTCAGAGCTCTTGCAATGCTATTTAGGTCTGCTTGGCTTATTTGATACCACTATTGCTCCCACTTTTCCCTGCTGGTGTTGTTGGAGAATGTGAAGATGCTTCCCCAAAACAGGCTGCTTGGTTCTCTCAGTAGGGGAAGGGATGCTCTGGTCCAAAAGGGAGGAAAAAGCTTCACAGGTTGAGCTGCTGCTGTGTGAGGATCCCCCTTTCCAGTGCCTCCTGGCCACCTGGTACCTGTAAGTAAGGGAAGGGAGCCTCTTCCTGGGCTTGGCAGTTCAGGGGGGATGCCCTTGCTGTGCCACCTGGCTGCCAGGTGCCTTGCATCTAGGTGGGAAGTCTCAGGTCTGTGGAGATAAAGAGTATTTCCTAGGACAGGTATTTCTGTGGCAGGATCCCCCTGACTGGTGTCACCCATCTGCCTGGTGTCTCTAGGTGAGGAGAGAGGAGTCTTAGCCCAGTGAGAAAAGAAAGCACTTCCCTTCACCACTTACTGTTAGCAGGGGTCCTAACTGATCTCACCTGCTGGCCCTGCTGGGCTCACTGGTGTTGTCAGCAGGACTTCCATGCCATCCAGGGAGGAATGAACCTACCTGGGCTTCTTTTGCTAGTTTGGGAGCTGGGAAATGCCACGTCACTTTCTTCTGTGGGGTAGGGGGATGTAAGAAGCACTGTCACTGTGTTGTTCTTCTAGTCACAAGGTCCATTCTCCAGGGGATAGAGCTGAATTCCCCTTCCTTGGAATATGGGCTGGACTTAAAGATTACTTCTAACAAATAAGGTAAGGAAAGAGAAAAATGGTATGTCTACAGTGGAGAATCCCAGAAGACACCACCTTTACCAAATGATCAAGGTTAACATCACCACGAATAAGTCATGTTTGTATCATGTACCCCTTCATATGATACAATAAGGACACTTCCTTTCTGTGATATTCTTCCAAAAAGTGCATAATGCAAATCTAATAATGAGAAAACAGACAATCCCCAGTTTAGAGGCATTCTATAAAATACCTGACCAGCTCTCAAGTGTCAAGATCATGAAAGAGAAAGAAAAGCTGAGAAACTGTCACAGATTAGAGACTAAAGAGCCATGATGACTAAATGCAGTGTGGGATCCTACACTGGATCCTAGATCAGAAAAAGGACAATAGTGGAAAACCCAAATACAGTCTGTAGTTGTTAATAGTGTCGTTCCAATGTTAATTTCTTAGCTTTGATAAATGTACCATGATTACATAAGACGTTAATATTAGGAGGAAAAATGAAGTCACCAGTTGGCCCTGGGCATTCTATTATAAGCAACAGACTTCATTTATTTATTTACTATTGTTATAGATTCATAAGTTTCTCTTTTTTTTTCCCCAATGGTTTATAAGTTATTAGTGTCCTCAGTTTGATGCTCAAATTGTCCCAGACTTGGCCAGTGGGTGGGAAACTCTTCAAACTGGCTCTGTGTCCTAGTGTCATGCTCCACCATGTTTTTTAGCACTTCCTTACTTTGGCATTACAAGATGTTCTGGGATCATCTCGTACCTACCCTACTCTAACCATGGAAGCAGCCATTAATCCAAGAAGCCATGGTTCCCACTGATGGAAAATGGCACTAGAGACTAAAATCTGGACACCAGATGTTCTCACTGCTACTGGAGTGTCCTTGCTTCTTGGTCTTTTCAGCAGACAAAGGTAGAAAACATATATGTGTATCTACACATACACACAAATATACATGCACATACACACACATGCACACAAATACGCATGTGCACATAAACATGTACAGACACACACGTACAAATCTTAGGAATCTTAAGTTCACACCAATACTTCTGATTCCAGCGCATGCTCACAGGATTCTTTCTTGCTTTGTCCCATTTGTATGACTTGCTTTGTCCCATTCCACATTTGTATGACTTTCCTTCCACAGTGAGAACCTTGGGTCCCAACAACACAGAACATGTACTTAATCGCTCAGCCCTATAATGCATCCAAAATAGTTTGAGAATCGCTTCACCATACTGCTACAAGAAACAAACCTACTAGAGTTTAGGATTTGTTTGTAATTCTAACATACATATAAAAATAAACTCTGCCCAAGACTGAGGATATATAATCAAACACTATGGTCAATTATTAAGTTATTGTGAAATTCTCTCAATAAGGCTTATACCATTCCGCATTCTCACCAACAAAGTATGAAAATGCCTGTTTCTCCACAGCCCCATCAATACGGAGGATTGTCAAGCTTTTGAATTTTTGCCGAGCTGATAGGTGAGAAATGGTATTGCACTGTAGTTGTAATTTGTTTCTCTTATCATGAGTAAAGTTAAACATCTCATTGGCTTATATTTCTTCTGCTAACCTGACTGATCATGTCTTTTGCCCACTTTTCTATAGGATTTCTGGTCTTTTCCCCTTGATCTTTAAAAGTTCTTATACAATGGGGATATTAACCTTTTATCTGTGAAATATGTTCATATAATTTTCTTCCAGTCATTTGTCTTTTGATATTACTTATATATGTTTTGCCAAGCAAAAGTTTTTAAATTTTGTTTACTCAACTTTATTAATCTTTTATTACTTCTAGATTTTAAGCCAGCAAAGCCTCTGAGCCTGGGGAAATGATCTTGTAGTGACCAGTCAGTGCCCAAGGCCAGTCGTGGGCTGGGCACTTGTCAGCTCTGCGACATTTGTGCTCTGGGGATTAGAGAGAGCGAGAGGCAAGAGCTAAAGGGATAGTGCCTTGGCCTGGATACAAAGGCAGGTGCTCCAGATCCTGAGCCCGACTGGAGGACTGGGGAGGGTTGTGGCTGACGGCCCTGAGTCCTTGGGCTGGATCACTGGCATGTATGCACAGCTAATGGGAGGGGCCCCGGGCTGCGGGGGTGAGTACTAATAGCTGTCCTTCGGTCTGCTGTTGGGGTAGCTGAGTATGTGGCTTGGGGATCTCATATGGCTGTTGGAGGACTTCAGAAGGGGTGAGGATGACGACCATTACAATATTGCTTTCCCCTCACACAGGACCAGAGTCCAGAACAAAGACATAGTGACTCCCCCATGTCTCCCAAGAGGTTGAATACCTTAGGGTTCTGATAGACGAGTGAATGAGGTACATAACTAGTTGTGCAGCTTTGTAAAGAAGCAGTTTATTAAAACAAAAGGCCATCTAATATAGAGAAGGACTGCTGCTTAGAAAGTAAACCATAAACCAACTATCTCATGAATACCGAAAGAAAGCAACATTTTTTTCCTCCATTCCATTTCAAGAAAGCAGAACATTTCCTAATGATTTCTGCCATCTTCACACTCACAGGGAAAGGAAAGGTCAGGAGAACAGCCCTTGTGGCAGGAGGTGATGGCCAGACTTGGTCTTCCTATGTCTGTGGAGGTGCGACTTCTGGCTAAAGCCACGACCACACTCCCTGCACACGTACGGCTTCTCTCCCGAATGGGTCCGCTGGTGTCTGATGAGAGCTGACTTGAAGCCAAAGCCACGCCCACACTCACCACACACGCACGGCTTCTCTCCCAAGTGTGTCCTCTGGTCAGAGGTAAGGTGGGACTTCTGGCCAAGTCCTTGCTCACACATTCCGTACACATCAGCCACCTCCCCTGAGTGTGTCCTCTGGTGTCTCGTGAGGAGTGACTTGAAGCCAAATGTACGTCCACACTCAGGGCACAGGTACGGCTTCTCCCCTGTGTGCGTCCTCTGGTGTCTGATGAGGGTGACCTTCTGACCAAAGCCACGCCCACACTCGGGGCACACGTAAGGCTTCTCCCCTGTGTGCGTCCTCTGGTGTCCCATGAGGGAGACCTTCTGGCTGAAGCCGCGCCCACACTCAGGGCACAGGTAAGGTTTCTCCCCTGTGTGCGTCCTCTGGTGTCTGATGAGGGTGACCTTCTGGCGAAAGCTGTGCCCACAATCGGCACAGACATAAGGCTTTTCCCCTGAGTGTGTGACCTGGTGACTGAGGAGCAGCGACTGTTGCCTGAAGCCACGCCCACACTCAAGGCACAGGAAGGGCCTCTCACCCGAATGTGAGCTCTGGTGCTGGAGGAGCGAGGCCTTCTGGCAAAAGCCTCTCCCACAGTCGGGACACACGAAGGGCTTCTCCTCCAGGTGTGTCCTCTGGTGCAGGATGAGGGCAATCTTTTGGCGAAAGCCTCGCCCACACTCCTGACATACAAAGGGTCTCTCCCCGGAGTGTATCCTCTTGTGGTTCGTGAGCGAGGACGTGTACCTGAAGTGTCGCCCGCACTCCCTGCACACATAAGGCTTCTCCCCGGAGTGTTTCCTCTGGTGGATGGTGAGGGAGGACTTCCGGCCAAAGCCTCGCCCACACTCTCTGCAGCTATAAGGCTTCTCCCCTGAGTGTGTCCTCTGGTGCTTGATGAGGTCTGACCTCTGGCAGAAGCCTCTGCCACATTCGGGGCACACATGATGCTTCTGGAGGCTACAGAGGCTTGATTTTGTCCTAAGTCCTAATCCACATTTTCCACATAGGACTGCTCCGGGTTCTGAGATGTCTGCTCCTGTCAACATGGTGTCTACCTCCTCAGGGCTCACCCCCTGGGTTGGGTCATGGTCTATTACTCCACCTCTGTTGCCTTCCACCCAGTCTACTGGCTGACCTTGAGATGGGCTGAAGAATGTCCTTGAAGTCCCGCTCAGCCGCAGGCTCCTGAACACAGTGCCAGAGCCTCCTCTCTCTCCATCTTCTACTTTTTCACTCAAGCAGTGAGGAGCTTCTAGTGGGAAGTGGCTTCCTGCAGATGAGCTTGGGAAGATCGGAGGGGGGTGACCGCACAGCACATATTGTCTGAGGAACTGCGGACTGGAAAAGGCTACCGGGCAGGAGAGACAGGGCCAGAATTCTGTCCTTGGTTCTGCTGGAGAGAAAGTCTCAGTCAGAATCACCACAGGTACCTTATGGACGGTAACATTTGCCCAGCAGTCATTCCTCAGATGTTCACACAACAGAGACTTCCTTTCCAGACTTACCTTCTAGCCCACAGTGACACATTAGCACATCTCCTGTTGTAACACAGAAAACCCACATGGCAAGCCAGCTCTAAACATCAGCCTGACTAAAATAGTTTCAAGAAAGCATCACAGGCATCTCCAGCCCTATATTGCTGCCATTAGAACTACACATTTTCCCCCATACAATGATCTCATCAGCCACGGTCATTAACACTGAGGTAAACATTATCCACAAATACATGCTTTCACTGTCAGTTAAACTATATGACTCATTACAAATTTCTTTTAGTGACTTTTCCTACAAGAAAGGGATGGGGTCACCACAGGGAGTCACTCGACCCAGAGGTGCCAGGGGGAAGGCAGTCTAAAGGAGAAGTCGGAGCCCCCTGTGGGATATGAACTGGTGTCTCCTGAAGAAGGATCTCCGAGAGGACCATGTGCTGGTTCTCTGTCAGGAAGTGGGGACTCGGCAGTGAAACACAGACACGGTCTAGGCCTGCAACCCTTTAAAGGGTTCTGGCTCCTGATGACCCCAATGAATCCAAGACCCGCTTTTCTCAGTTTCCTACAAATTATTGTAAAAGGAAAAATTTCCGCCTACAACAGCTCTTGCCTAGGAGATGTCAAATTTGTATGCCCCATTCCATGACACTAGTTCTATCCACCTGAAGCTGAAGAAAAATACCCTGAACCTTAAATAAACTCTGCATACCAGGCCTTTCCAGACCTACCTGACTCTCTCCTCACCAACCAAAAAGAGATGTATTTCATGGACCATCTACGACAGGGGTCAGCAAACACAGCCTGCCAGGTGTTTTGTCATCAAGGTCTATGGACCACAGCCACACTCACTCTTTAGGCAGTGTCTGTGGCAGCTTTCACACACAACAGCAAAGCTGAGCAGCTGAGACAAAGAACATAAAGGCCACAAGGACTAAAACACCTACTATCTGGCTCTTTACAGAAAATGTTTCCCAAAGCCTGATCCACAGCACTGACTCAGTCCATCTGGTCCAAGACGCCAGCTTTCAGTACTAACAATAACCACCCCTTCCTAACACTTACACCCCCCACTTCCTCCTCAGCAAACTACTCGATAAACTTGGTTCTCTCTGTCTGTGCGTGTCTGTGTGTGTGTGTGTGTGTGTGCGCGTACTGCTAGATCTAGAGGCTCCTGTGAAATGGCCTCGATAATCACTCACAAGTGCTGACCCCACTGGACTTCCAGATGTGAAAGTGGACATCTTTTCAGTCTTGGGAGACAGTTCTGGCCATCAGGGGTCCCACTGTGGTTGGCCTCTCATCACAAATGTGCTCTAGTTCAGCTCACTAAACTGTTCGTGAGTTTATTTTGTTAAGCTAGGCTGTCCACGTTATCAAAACTTGTGGCAGGTGTGTACATTTCTGGTGAGCAGTTTCCAGTAAACACTTTGTTATAATTCTAGAGTTCTGACAGCAGAGCTTTCAGCATGAGCTACTGTCTATTTGTCTGTGACTGGATGGCAAGAGTAAAGTGGCCGCTGCCCTCTCCTTGGCTTGGCATAAAGCCCAAGGCCAGTGTAACGCGCACTTCATCACAGGCGTGCCCACAGAGGGAGAGGAAGCACTTTTGTGTGTCTTCTGTATTCAATATGGGACTGATTTCAACACACTTAACATCGCCCTTATGAGAACCACAGCCTCTAACAAGAATGTTCATCCAGCATCATTTTTGTGCCTATCTAGTAATGTGGCAAATTTTAACTAAAAGTGATTTAGAATTACAACGTCCACTTTGGGAAACTAAAATTCAACATGGCTTTAACACGCAGAAGTTCTGGAATAAAAGAAGAAATAGAAATAAAATTTTACCAACATAATGCTTTTCAGTCAATCGTAAAAATTTCCAGGATGTAGAAGAAAATCAGTTTATAAACTCTTTTAAAGTCTACAACTGCTCTTGTGCTGACTGGTTTTTCAGACCCAAAAGTAATTCAATAATTGTACATAAACTCAACACTTCCCAAAACTAAGAGAAAAAAAAATCAATGCCCAATGGTGCCTTAAAGAAACTTCCTCCTGCAGCTGCTGGGTGTGGTACAGAAGCACAGCTGTGGGTTACGTGAATGGCCTTCGACCCTGGATTTCAAGAGAAGAATGCTGGGCATTCACTGCTTTTAAACACTTTAAAGAATTTTAAGACTTGGTCCATGGACATAAAAGGGGAATGTTTTCAACTTAATCAGAATTAATCCTTGGAAACTGGACAATTTTCATAATATGTCATCTCCATGATTTTATGACAATATAAAAGAAATGTTAGCACATGTGATAGTTAATTTTGTGTCAACTTGGCTGGCCACGGGTTGCCCATTTAATCAAACACCATTCTGGGTGTTTCTGTGAGGGTGTTTTTGGATGACTTTAACATTTACATGGAGGGACTGAGTAAAGCAGATTGCCCTCCCTAACGTGGGTGGCCCTCATCCAACCAGTTGAAGGGGTGAATAGAACAAAAGACTGACCCTCTCCCAAATAAGAGGGAATTCCTCCAGCCCGATTGCCTTCAAGCTGGGACATGGGGGTGGGGATTGTTTCTGTTTATCTTGCTTTTGCACTCTAACTGAAACATCAGTTCTTCCTGGGTGTCGAGCCTGCTAGCACTACACTATAGACTCTTCTAGGTCTTCATCTTTCTGACTGTGGATGTTGGGGCTTCTCAACCTCTGTAATTGTGTGAGCCAATTCCTTATAACACATCTCACCACGCGTGTGTGTGTGTATGTGCATATATGTGTGTATATATATACGCACATACACACACATCCTATTGGTTCTGTTACTCTGGATAACTGTAATACTGATTTTGGTACTGAGAAGTGGGGTACAGCTGTAACAAATACCTAAAATTGTGTAATTAGCTTTGGAACTAGCTGATAGTAGGGGCCACAAGTTATGAGGTGCATGCTAGAAAAAGCCTTGACTGACGAGAAGGGACTGTTGCTAGAAACATGGTTGTTAAAGGTGACTTTGGTGAGGACCCAGAAAGAAAGGAGCAGAGCTGGTGAGAAAGCGTCCACCTTATTAGAATGTTCATAAATATGAATTGACTAGTATTCTACAGAACAGATTTTCGAATGTTAAGCCTTGCATCTGTGAATAAATTCCACTGAGGCATGGTGTGTAATTCTTTTTAAACACGGTTGGATTCAATTTGGAATATTTTTATCACATGTGTAGGTTCCTGGCTCCACCACCAACTTAATTACTTTAATAAATGTAGCATTACTCAGATTTTGTTAGTAGTATTTTTTAAGGAATCCATTCATTTCATATGAGTTATTAAACTTGTTAGTACTAACTTGTTCAGACTTTATCATCCTTTTAAAGTCTGGAGGATATGTACTGATAACTTCCCTTTCATTCCTGAATTGATTACTCATGTCTTCTTTCTTTTCTCCTTGGTTCATCTACTTAGTGATATATAATTTTGTTGATCTTTTCAGAGAATCAACATTTGGCTTTGCAAATTTTTCTGTTGTTAATCAGTGTTACATTTCATTGATTTCTGCTCTTAATTTCATTATTCCCTTCCTTTTACTCACTTTGCATTTACTTTGCTCTTCTTTAAGGTAAAAGCTTAAGTCACTGATCATATAGACCTTTCTTTTCTAATATGAGCACATAAGGCTATAAATTTCCCCCTAAGCATCTCACAAATTTTTATTTTGCTGAGAAGGATTTTAAAAGATCTAGGTAGTGGGTTGTAAAACCTGATACTGGTAAGACATAATTTCTCCTCCAAGTCATCTGTGGATACACTAAAATCTCAATAATAAATATAAGCCAGGTTTTCTTTTTTCTTTCTTTTTTTTCTTATGAGAAGCTGATCCTAAAATTTGAGCGGAAATGCAGAGAACCAAGACTATCGAAAGCAATCTTGAAAAAGAAAAACAAAGGGAAAGGAATTGCACTACTTGACTTCAAGACTTCCTATGATCTTACAGTAATACAGATGGTGTGGCTTGGTTTAACAGAACAGAGCGTAAAATAGACCCACACTTAGCCAGTCATTGGATTTTCAACAAAGTAAATCCAATGAGGGAACAGCAAGACTTTTCAACAAATGGTGCTAGAGCAACTGGGTATCCATATGAAAAGAAAAATAAGAGGAAGATGGGCACAGATGTTAGCCCAGGGTCAATCTTCCTCAGCAAAAAGAGGAGGATTGGCAACAGATGTTAGCTCAGAGCTAATGTTCCTCACCAAAAAAACAAAAAATAAAAAGAAACTCTGATCCCAGTCTCACATCCTACACAAAAGTTAATTCAACATGGATCACAGACTTAAATGTAAAAGCTAAAATTATACAGCATTTAGAAGAAAATATAGGAGATTATCTTCATGATAGTAAAAATTTAAAGAGAGAGAGAAAAATTAGACTTCCTCAAAGTAAACATCTGCTCATCAAAAGTTGTTGTTAAACAAATGAACAGAAAGTTGCAGACTGAGAGAAAAATATTTGCAAAACGTACACATGACAAAGCACTGGTATCCAAGATTAATAAAGAACTCAAAGAACTCAACAATAAAAAGAAAAACAATACAATAAAAAACTGGAAAAAGATTTGAATGGATACTTCACAAAGTAAGTTATATGATATGTATGAATGATCAAAAAGCACACAGAAAGTGCTCAACATCATTAACCATCAGGGAAATGGAAATTAAAACCCCCATGAGATACCACTCCACATCCATCACCAGAGATAAAATGAAAACTGTTGAGCAGGATGTGAGGCAACAGGAATTCTCATATGTTGTTCATGGAAGTGAAAAATGGTATAACCACTTTGGAAAAGGTCTGGTCATTTCTTATAAAACTTCACAGTTACTCTATGACCGAGTGCACTGGGTTGAGTAATGT